AAAACACAAGTACAGATCGAAAAAAAAAAAAATCAAGAAAATCATATATCGAACAAAATCTTTTACTACCTCCGCCGGCAGACAAGAGACTGACGAGAGAACTCCGAATGTATTCTTCATCATCCATAGTACTTGACAACAGCCATCGTTCCCGCCAAGTAAGCTTTCGAATTGGATTATTGATTATATGGGATTTCATATCGCCGTCTCCATTTTTGTCTCCGAACCCAAGATTTTGAAAAGATTGAACCATTGTATCTTCGTGAGGATCAGAATCGCCGGCAAGGTTTTGGCCGGGATTTGGGGTTTTAGAAGCCGGGGACTCCATGCATGCAGAGAAAGGGGAAAACGGCTTTTCTGATCAAGAGATGATTGAAGAATGGTGAAAAATTAACAGAGCAAGTTTTGGCTGTTCTTGAATTATGTGCTTTGAGGCTCCATATATGTGCATATAGGCAATGCACTGTGTGTGTGCGTATGGGGCATTGGAGTCTCATCCACGGTTCTGCCATAACCATCCTAAAACAGGCGCGTGGTTAACGGGCCTTGAACTTGGCCCATGATTTGACTGGGCCGTTTTTGGCCACATATATGTACTTTTTGACTGGGCCGTTTTTTTTAAAATTTATTTTTTTCTTGGGAAAATTTTATAACTACTCCTTTTTTACAATAATTTTACAAAGTAGTTGCAAGCCGCACACAATACCCAATTTACTCCAAACACTAGACAAAAATAGGTAGACACAAAAAAAAATAAAAAAAAATAAAATTAAATAAAGATGCAATATTATTTTTAAAAACTACCTATTCAACATTTTTATCCATTTATTTCTCTCTCTTGAACATCCTTATCTATTTTTTTTTTCTCTCTCCCTTTTTCTTTCTCTCTCCCGTCTCTTTTTTTTTTCATTTTCTCTATTTCTCTTCTGTCTCTCCAATCTCTTTTCCCCTATTTCTTCTTTTTCTCTTCTCCAAATATTTCTTCTCCTCCAAACTTGAATACCTAAG